TACTAATAACCAAAGCCACCCACTCTCTGCTTCTTGACAACTGACATGGGCACAGCTACTCTCTTCAGGAGAACCACAGCACCCAGAAGAATGTGATCCTTCCTGTGGCCCAATGGGGTCAACCAGGAGAAGCCCCTCAGAGCTTGAAAGACACACAGAAACCAGACGTATTTGCCACATCCTCTTGTCTGTCCACAGCTCCTATTGGCTGGTGTTCCTGTCCTCTCTGCAAAGCCAGTCTTCTCCCCACTGCGTGCCTCACATTTGCAACTAGCTGCCAAGAAGCAGGCACCTCCAATGCCCTCAGGTCCTTGGCTTTCTTCCAGCCCTCACCAATCCTTGCCCAGAACGGGAGTCACAACAGGCTCCTCAGCTCTAGAAGCCTGCGACCCATCTTTTCCCCACTACAAGCTTAAGTTTCACCATAGCCTGAACAGAACACTCATGCCTGCCTACTTTAAAGAAGACAAAACAAACAAACAGAACCAAAACAAACAAAAGATCCTTCTGTGGGAGGAAAAACATGAGAAAACAAAAACATCACCACAGAACTGACTTTCCTGCAAGAAAACGCCTAACACTTCCTTCTACATCTGACCCCAAGGTGGCTTCCGGCCTCCTCTCTAACACCCCAAAGTTTCTACCACTCAGCTGCATGCCAAGTTCTGCAGTGCCTCCCTCCTTTCCTGGAGGGCCTCTCCACCGCTTCTTGAAGGCCCTTCACTGAGTGAAGCAGAACAGCTTTACCCCATTCCCAGAGTTCCAGGTGCAAGGGTGGGGCTGTTTGTCTGTCTCCCACAGCTGGAGGTCAAGGGCCCTCCTGCCTGTTGTAGACTCAACAAATGGCAATTGAATTGACTTATCCTTCCCACTAACTCCTGGTGTCCAGGAAGATGCCCTGGCGGCATGGACAGGATGATTTCTGAGGTCTCTATTAACTCTGAAATTCCTCATTGCTGATGTCCAAAGTTGGGCACCCAAACTTCACCCCTCTCAAGACTCTCCCAACTAAAAAAGGACATAAGAAGTTTTCCAAGTTGGCTCAGAGACCCCTAAGGGTCCCCCAAACACCTCTCAGGTGAATGTAAACTCAAAACTATGTCTATATAAACCAAGGGGTTGTCTTCTCTCTCTTTCCTTAGCAGTGCATGGTAGTTTTCTAGAAGCTACATGTGAATCTGCAACAGAATGGATGCAGGAGCAGATGAGCTCTCAGCAGGTTCAATTAAACCAGATGTTAAAAATAAAAAATAAAGCCACTTTTTCACCACTTTGCTTTGATAAGTACAATCTTTTTTCTCTAGAAATGTCAACATGTAGCCGGGTGCAGTGGCATAGGTCTGTAATCCCAGAGGCTTGGGAGGCTGAGGCAGGTGAATCACGAGTTCAAAGCCAGCCTCAGCAACTGTGAGGCGCTAAGCAACTCAGTGAGACTGTCTCCAATGAAATACAAAATAGGGCTTGGGATGTGGCTCAGTGGTTGAGTACTCCTGAGTTCAATCCCTGGTACCAAAAAGAAAAAACATATTTTAAATTTTAACTAACGTTTTAAACATGTGCCAGGCATGGTGGTACATGCCTGTAATCCTAGCATTCAAGAGATGCAGAAGAATAACTTGAGCCCAGGAGTTCAAGGCCAGCCTGGGCAATATAGTGAGACCCTCCCCCGCATCTCAAAAAAGAGAGAGAAAAGTAAAATGTAGCTGGTTTATTGTATGTATGTAATCATTTATGTATTTATTTATTTAAATTTTATTTATTTATTTATTTATTTTCAGTGCTGAGGATTGAACCCAGGGCTTGATGTAAGCTAAACATTTATTCTACCACTGAACTCCACCCCAGCCTTGCTTTTATTTTTAATTTTTTTAACTTTATTTTTTTTTTAATGTGGTGCTGAGGATCGAATCCAGTGTCTCACTTGTGCTAGGCAAGCACTCTGCCACTGAACCACAACCCCAGCCCCTTGTTTTTATTTTTAATTTTGAGTATGTTTTAAACTTCTCATTTTCCATTTCTAGCATAGTAAATACAGAACACTGTATTCTACATAAAGAAAACTCTCAGGGTCTTCAACAATCTTTTTGTAAAGGGGTCATGAGACCCCAACACCTTCCCACATCCTCACTCACCCCTTTGCTTCTCTCTCCTCTTGGTGGCCACATCTGAAACCCATCTGCTTTCCCCCACTGGCCCAGGAGGGCCTGGCCTTGTGGCTTCTCACCACTGCTCCTGCAGTTCCTCACACTTAGACCCCCCCAGGGACCCGCTGGCGTTTCATCCAGTGGACTTTCCTCTGTCATTTACCTCAACATCCTGGCAGCATGACAATGTTTCATACTCCTAGAGACACCCATCTCTTTCCTGGTTCTCCTCCTACCCTCCCAATTCCTCTTGCTTTACTCAGACCGCCAGGCCTGGGGACCTCAACACTAAGCCTGCCCCATCCTCTTTTTCCCTCCCCTTATGGCCTCAAGCACCATCTGCATGTACCTAATACAACTCTCGCCCAGATTTCTCTCCTGTGTTTCACAGCAACATATCTAGCTGCCCCCAAGATCCATGTGGATGGCCTCTCCCACAGGCAACCCCAACTTATGCCTAGGGTAGATCTTTACCCTTCCCTTTCCGGTTCCAAGAAGCCTGGCCCTCCTGGCTCTACCCTCACCTTTATGATATGATGATATACATATATGTTTTCATCCATAGTGCCTGGCTCATAACTCCCTCTCCAAGATAGGTCATAGAAACGCTAACATTCTCTGACATGTCTGATAGTAGATGATAAGACCCCCTGAAGGGGTCCCGATCCATAGCTGCAAGGAAGGAGTGCTGAAGAAGCTGAACAAGCTGGCATGGTGACACATGATTATAATTCCAGAGGCTTGGGAGACTGAGGTAAGAGAATCACAAGTTCAAAGCCAGCCTCAGCAACTTAGCAAGGCCCTAAGCAACTCAGAGAGACCCTGTCTCAAAATGAAAAATAAAAAGGGCTGGGGATGTGGCTCAGTGGTAACAGCTCCTGGGTTCAATCTCCAGTACCAAAAACAAATAATCAAAAGCAAAAACTTGGTGTGTACTCCTGGCATCAGAAGTGAAGGGTTGGTCTTGGGGACTGAACCCTCAGCCTGTGGGATCACCAGGAGTGTCAGAATCAAATTGGCTTCCAGGACACCCTGCTGGGTTCCTGCTGCAGAATTGCTTGCTTACTCAGTGTGTAGGGAAAACCCACCCACATCTGGGCTCCGAAGTGGTCTGTATTGTTTAGTAGAAGAAACTGAGCCTGAGTTTGAGCTGCTTTTCCCTACTATATCTTCAGACCCTCACTCTGCTCAACCAGTCTGTCACCAAATCCTATCAATCTCACCCCTAAATCACACTCAGATCCACACCGCTGCCCATGCCTATTGCCATGGCTCGCGCCGTCACCTCCTGCTGACTGGCCTTCCTCCTCCAGTGTGACACAGCAACCAGAGTTTCCTCATTAGCACACCAGAATCCACTGGAGGTCCGCCACTGACCCAGGAGGAATGCCACCTGCACAGCCGAGCACAGTCACTAGGGCAGCTGGCCCCAGTCCTTCCCTCTATGCAGCCTCATGTCCCCTCCCCTGCTGCTGGGACAGCCTGTCTGACCTTGTCTCCCAGTCAAGCACATGCTGTTCTCTGACTCCCTGTTCCCAGAGGTCCCATTTCAGGCTCCCTCACCCAGAAAGTCTTCCCTGACTGCCTGTTCACTCAGCTCAGGGCTCCTTTCGACTTGCTCCCATTTCATATGGAATGATCACCATCAGTTCTAGACTCCAGGTTCCTTAAGGAGGAGGATCCTAGGCTGGGGCTGTAGCCCAGTGGTAGAGTGCTTGCCTAGCATGTGTGAGGCCCGGGGTTCAATCTCCAGCACCACTAAAAAAAAAAAGAGAGGACCCTTTTATCGTTGTATCCCCAGTGCCTAGAACAGTGCCTGACACAATGACTTGAGGAATGAGAGTCCATGTTTAGCTGGCAAATAGCCCTCCCCACCCCGTTTAACCTCCAGTCTAGAGCCAGACTCTGCTCTGATGCAGGAAGCCCCAGAGGTGGCTGCCCAGGGATTTCTGCCACACACTTGTTGTGTTGTCCTGATCAGGTTCCCAGAAGAACCTGGCTGAACTCCACACTTTTCCCATCAGTGGCTAAGATCACAAGGCTGCCAAGACATGGGCACACGACTCAGCATGGCACCCTCCCCAGGCACAACACCTGCCCAATTTGATCGGAACTGACCCTGCTGGGGACATCAGACCAATCCAGGGCACTGGCCACAACAGCAGTACAWACCACACAGCCTGTTCCCATCCATTATTTCATGGGAACTGTCCCCTCATAGGGTGAAGTGCTCAGAGAGCTAGGGACTTCTCTGAGGTCTCTAGGTAGTGAAGGAAGGGGTGGTTTGGACAGACTCTGCTGCTAAATCCTGTCATCTTGGCCCCACTCCCATCCTGCAGGTCCAGGAGACCCTCATATGTGCCATTCATTGTTAAAGAAGGGCAGACCAGGCTGACATCTAGGTACTGTGACCTCCCTGGAGCCAGAACCTGAGGAAGAGTACACAGGGAGAGGCAGGGGGTAAATATAAAGCAGCAAGAGAGCATCTTACAACTTATCCCAATATGGGCAAGTCCTGGCAGCTCAGGGCAGGAGAAGGGACAGCCAGTAACTGTGGCCCCGGAGGCAGCAGTGAGCACTCTGACCCTGGAAGTAAAAGGGACCTCAGGTCCTACAGGCCACAGAATCCCACTGTCAGTGGTGCCCAGAAGTTGTCATCCCCATACCCTAACCCACATGCTCCTTTAGTAGGAAGCCAGAGTTCTGGCCCACCTGCCAGAAAGAGCTACCAGCTGCCCCTGCAGCTGAAGGAAGACCTGGTATAGGGTCCAAGCCTTTTCCCTCCTAGGAAACTTCTAGGGTATATCTCTTGCTTACCCCAACCCTCATGTAAAGAAAGAAGCACATCCCAGCACAGAAGAGATAATAAGAGATCAATTTATGAATAACAGTATGAGACAGAGAGGGAAGGAGCAAGGGCCTATGGTGATGAGCTTCCCATAAACAGACCAACAGATACACAAAAGTGGTCCAGACAGACAAGGAGACAGAGTCGGAGAAACAAAACCCAAAAGGTAAGAGGCCCAGGCCCAGTCTCAGCAGTTTTGTCTAGGCAACAGATCCAGCTCTGCCCTGGGAGTCTAGTGAGTGAGTGGGATTGGAAGGCCTGAGTCCTGGTAGGGCTCCCTCTGCTTACTCCCCACTGCCCCTCCTGCTGTCTGGGAACTTGGGCAGGTAATATTTCCAAGGCTGGGAAATGGCTGGTCTGGATGGACAGAAAATCAAGGCTCTTAGAGGCTCCCTGGAGAGGTGGAGGCCTGTGTAGTGTGGGGTTAGCAGCAGCAATGAGGGAAATCTGGTCAGGCACCAGGGCCTGAGGTGGAGCCACTGCGCAGCAGGGCCATGTCCAGGGCAGGCCCCCCACCCACCCTGCCACCACACCAACATGGTGCAATAAATAAAGTGTTCAGAAGTCAGTGTCAAGCAGGAGAGCTAGAAGCTGGCAGACTGACAGGGGCTTAGGAAGAGAAGTCCCCAGTTGTCTACCATGACATCTCAGGAATTCTAGCTGTATCAAGTTTGTATCAAGCACTGTGGTGGGCACCTGGCCCTGATGTCCACATGGGCACTCCCTGCAGGGGCTCAGCCCCTCAGACCAGCGCCAGAGCTTGCTCCGTGGGGCAGAAGCAGGGCAGCATGGTGCCTACAGCATCCACGATGGCTTCCAGATGCTCATCCTGGGCCTGAGGCCCACAGAGCTGCATGAAGTCTGCAAGACGCAGCAAGTACTCAAGATTGTGACCAGAGAAGCCTCGGCAGGCCAGGATCTGTGTAGCAATGGCCTCTTCTGGAGCAGGGCCCAAGTAGGCAGGGTTCTGAGGGGTGGCCACATAAGCCAATGCCTTGAGTGGTTGATCAGGTGTATCTTGAGGATAGAAAGTGACTTCCTTGGTGTCATAGCCACCAAGCACTGCCTCTCGCACATTCAGGTACTTCAGGGCCTCGCTCACCTGCTCACCTTGGACCTGGTATGCCACACCCCAAGTGCAGCCCTAGGAGGAAGTAAAGATATTTCTGGTCAGTCACAGCAACTGTTTGCTGGTCCCTCCTTCATTACAGAATGCTATTCCCCCACCCCCAGTGACCCAAGGACTGTACTTTTTTTTTTTTCTTTTTGTGGTGGTACTAGGGAGCCCAGGGCTGCTTTACCACCAAGCTATAACTCCACTCTATATATCTGTTTGCTTGCTTATTTATTTTTCTTAAAATATGTTTAGTTGTAGACGGAGACAATAACTTTATTTTATTTATTTATTTTTTTATGTGATGCTCAGGTTCAAACCCTGTGCCTCATACTTGCTAGGCAAGCACTCTACCACGGAGCTACAACTCCAGCTCTTGTTTATTTATTTTTTGAGACAGGGTCCCACTAAGTTGCCCAGGCTTACTTCAAACTTGGGATCCTCCTGCCTCAACCTCCCCAATTCCCTGGGATAACAGGTGTGCACCACCAGGCCTGGCTTATGCCTCCTTTCTTAAAAGGTGGTCTAATCCCAGGAAGGACAGGATTTCTATTCATAGTGTGGTTCAGAAACATGTAATGGCATCACCTGTAAGCTTGTTAGAAATGGTGCACCTCAGACCTCATTCCAATCCTACTGAATTAAATTCTGCAGATCCTAGGTAACTCTGAGAAACACTGAGCCAAAACATACTTCCACTCTGCCAGACAAGCAACAGCTATAGCTTACAGTCATGGGCCCAAAAAGCTCTGTGCGTGGCACCCTTCCACATTGGGTGCTGGGTCCCCCTTTTGCCGGCAATACTTACCTCACGATCTTCAAGGAGGGTCACCACACGACCAGGCTAGGGAGGGAAGGAAGATTTTGAAAGACAAGTTAGAAATCAGTTCTGCCATCAGTGCAGAGAAAGCCTTATCATTCTGTTGGCTAGGCCTCAAAGAGTCCTATTCATATAGGGGGATGAGCAGGGAGTGATGTAGGGATACAGGAGAAATAGTAAGGCAGAGAGATGGCAATGGTCCAGATGGGTAATCAACCCAGGGATCCACAGGTTTACCGACTCCAGGCATCAATCACACAGTGATCACTTGGGCACACAAATTTAAGCCACAAAGCCAGACAGTTTTACACATTGGCCCAGAGAGCCCAGGCTATTCCAAGGGCACCGGCGCCCACTATGCTACCCACCGCCCTCACCCCCCTGGGCACCGTCAGATTCTCACCATCTTGTCGCTGCCCCGATGGAAGGTGTCTCCCTGCCAGAAACGGCGGCTGTAGCCTCGCACGAAGCCCACACGGCTGTCACTGTAAGCGAAGTCGGGCCTCCACACTAGGGAGCCATACCCGAAAATCCAAAGTGCTGGAGGGTCGCCATCCTCCTGGGGGGACTGCACGGATGCGTTCGGAGATGGCGAGGGGGGCGGGGTGCTCTGGGCTGCGGGCTCTTGCTTCATGGTGCCGGGCACAGGGACGGGCCCGGGCGGCCTCCGGGGCTGGTCTCCGGCGCGGGCACGGAAGGACCGACGGACGCGCACACCTGGCCTGGCACCGGTCGGTCGCTCCAACTGAGTGGCCCCCAAGGAGGTGCCCTTTAAACCCTCCGGCGGAGGGACCCCCCCCGCCCGCCGCGGCCAGCTGCCGCGGTGATTGGGGCGGAGCAAACCCTCTTTGGGCCAATCATCTTCGGATTTTGCTTCTCGGTTAACCGCGCTACTCTTCAAGTGGGTGGCTGAGTGGCCTGCCCCGGGCCCAGTGCGCTCGCTGATTGGTTCGGCTCCACCTCGTGGCAAACCTGGCAGAAGTGATGCAACGGCAGGGAAGGTTTCCCCAGCGCCCGCATGCAGCAAGGGCGCCTCCGATTGCGTCAGGCGGCGGGCAGTGGGCATGGGCCCGGCGTGGTCACGGGCAGTGGGCCTCCCCTTGGCAACTCCTCCTGGCCCGGGCCATGCAGGAGCCATAGCGGGTGGGTTTAAGGCGATGTCTCCTCAGCAGTCCTGCGGGTGATGGGGCCGAGTCACTGCCACCCCAAGACTGTCCTGGGGCCGGAGCAGGACATAGCCAGAAGGAGCACTCTGGGCGTTGTAAACTCCTGAGAGCACGCACGGTCGACAGCGAGGAAGCTGTAGGAAGCACCGTCCGCATTCCACTCCGGTGCCTCACGCCGTTGGCTCGCGTGAGCAAATGGAGAAACTGAGTCACGGGGGCGCGAAGGGGTTCTACAGAGGCTGCGGTTGAGTCAGGTCAGACAGTCAAGGTTTTGCAGACCTCACGTGAGTCCACGTCCCGGACGGGTGTGGAACCTCCTGAGCCCAGGCAGGTTTGAGGAAGATCCAGCCAAAGCCATTGGGACAGCAGTCACTTTGGCTTCCCCGGGGCATCTGTGGTGAAAGGCCTTAAAGTGAACGCCTGACCAGCTTTGCCCTGAGGCCATGGGTTTAGCTTTTCGCAGACTTGAGAATTTGTGGTAATGGTTAATCCTTAGGCGCTGAGGTTCTCCGAGTATGATGCACTGCGAGCAGCTACAGGCCTTTTCCTTTGGCTACTGACCACCCAGTGGAGAGTCCCACAGGCCATCTGGGATCAACTCCTTAAGCAGTAGAAAGGGGCTGCCAGATGGGGATGTTTTGATTAGAAAAGAGAAACAGAGGCCGCCGAAGGCCTTCCCAGGGTGGAACTGATTCCCAGAGATTGTTGTTGAGGTTTGGGTGAGCCCTCTGGCAGGGGAAGTGGACAATATTAGTTCAGTTCCTAATTATTCAAATTAAACATTATCTGCACACTAAGTGATTGTATTCATTCCAAAGGTGAGTGTGTAGCAGGAAGCTATACCTTTAAAAATAAATTATTGGGGGGCTGGAGTTGTGGCTCAGTGGTAGAACACTTGCCTGGCATGTGTGAGGCACTAGGTTTGATTCTCAGCACCACATATAAATAAATAAAGTTCTATTAACAACTAAAAAATTAAAAATAAGTTATTAGGCCGGGTGTCTTAGCACAGGTCTGTAATCCCAGCAACTGGGGACAATGAGGCAGGAGGATTGCAAGTTCCAGGCCAGCATCAGCAACTTAGTGAAGCCCTGGGCAACATAGCAAAACCCTGTCTCAAATTAAAAAAAAAAAAAAAAGTGAAAGAAAAAAGAAAAGGGACTGGGGAGATGGCTCATTGGTTACTTAACCCCTGAGTTCAATTCCTGGTACCAAAAAAAAAAAAATAGTTATTGGTCTGATGAAGGCTGAGGTGTAGCTCAGTAGTAAAGCACTTGCCAAGTATGCAGCAGGCCCTGGGTTCAATCCCCAGCACCAGGAAAACAAACAAAAAAACTCACAAGATTTTCAGTAGTATTTGTGTAAAAATCTGAAGATAAGGCTGGGGGTATGTTAGCTCAGGGATATAGTACTTACATAGCAAACTCAAGGCCATGGGTTCAAAAAAAAAAAAAAGAAAGAAAGAAAAAATACTGAAGATGGTACCTAAATTGTAAACTGACATCAAAGGAGGCCTGGGTTTCCTTGTTTGGTTGCTTGGTTGGTTGCTTTTTTTTTTTTTTTTTTTTTTGGTACTAGGGATGGATTTAACTCAGAGGAGCTTAACCAATGAGCCACATCCCAGCCCTCAAAGGAGGATTTTGTGTAGTAAATTCTTTTTTTTTTTTTAAAGAGAGAAAGAATTTTTTTTTTAATATTTATTTTTTTTTTAGTTTTCAGTGGACACAACATCTTTGTTTGTATGTGGTGCTGAGGATCGAACCCGGGCCGCACACATGCCAGGTGAGCGCGCCACCGCTTGAGCCACATCCCCGCCCCTGTAGTAAATTCTAATTTATGAAAAAGTCTGGGTTCTTTACAATGAACATGAGGAAAATAATTCAAACAAAATGGTCTTTTCTGGTCACTCCTTTCTCTTTCTCTTTGCCTGTTTCCCGGGTTCACTCTGTCCTTTTTTCTCTCTATCTGTTCCTGTTAGTCCACCTGAGCACCTCCTTTGCTTAGAAAAAAATATCCTCTTCTCTTCTCACCACCTTTGTAAGTGAATGGAAAATGGGAAGCTGATAACAGCACATTGCTGCAAGTATCTGAACAGGCCCAAACAACCTTCTGAGAAAGCAGCTTAGTGATACAATCAAGAACCATAAAATGTCCCTGCCCTCTGACCCAATACTTCCACTCCAGGAAATTATTCAAAATATGGGAAAAGCCATATGCCTGATGATTTTCAATGCATTGTTATTTATTATAGCAAAAACAAAAGAAAAACTACTTAAATGTCCAAAAATAGCCAAATGTTTAAGTAAATTATGGTCAATTCACGTGATGGAGAAGAACACACACACACAAGTGCCAGAGCATGTGCAGGCAGGCACAGGGACAACGTAAACATCCAGTGATACATGTTTACATAAACTTGAGATTAGTTCATTAAATTGGTGAAGCCACTAGAAATAATTGTATATGTCTATACTGATTGACATAGAAATATATCTATGATGTATAATTAAGTGAAAAGACAGGGTATAAAATAACCTGCTAAAACTTTTTAAACTTAAAAGTCTGGGGATAGGCGTGGGTGTGGAGTAATCCCCATGACTCCAGAGGTTGAGGCAGGAGGATCGAAAGTCTGAGGACAGCCTGGACTGGGCAATTTAACTAGACTGTCTCAAAATACAAAAAAGGCTGGGCATGTAGGTCAGTGTAAAGTGCCCCTGGGTTCATCCCTAGTACCACCAAAAAAAAAAAAAAAAAAAAAAAGGCTGGGGCAGGGGATATGAGGAGAGCACTTGCCTAGAATGTTTGGGGCCCTGGGTTCAATCCCCAGTTCTGGGAGCAGGGGAGGCTAAATGTGCTTATTTGCTTAGAACCATTCTGGAAGAACACTTGTGCTCAAAGTGATTGAGTAAAAGCATTATACGAGATTTGCGTTTTCTTTTGTATGCTGATTCTGAATGAAACTTTATAAAAAGAACATAAACATTTAAAAAGAAGGCTATTTCTAGTTCATTGATCAAAATTCATTATGAAAACAATGTAGTAAACTTGCCAGTGATGCATAGTTTAAAAATGCAAAATATGAACTATCACATTTACTATGATTAACATTTAAAAACAAGATGTATGAGGAATAAAGGTTGGGACATCAAATACTAGTGTTAGACTGTTGGTATTATGGGTGAATCTTTTCTCTATTTCCAAGTTTTGTGAAATTTAATTTGATTATTATTAAATAATTTGATTATTATTAAACCTTGTGGGGAGTACTGAAACTGATCTCAGGGGTGCTTTATCACTAAGCTATATCCTCAACCCTTTTTATTTTTTATTTTGACACAGGTTTTCGCTAAGTTGCCCAGGCTGGCCTCAAACCTGCAATCCTCCTTCCTTAGCCTTCCAAGTCCCTGGGATTACAGGTGTGTGTCACCACACCCAGCAAAATACAATTTTTAAGTAATGAAAAGTTACCTTAAAAGAGCAAATAGATGCTTTTCTGATGGGTTAAAGAGTAGATGGCCTATCAGCTTATCTGAATCATCTGAGTAACATTTTAATGATATTCATTTTTTTCCCCTCAATACTGGTAATTAAACCTTGGGGTGCCCTATCACTGAATTACACATGGTGTTCATTCTTGGCCTTCTCCCACCCCAAGTAAAGCCCAGAATCTTCATGACTTCTTATTCCTGTCCTCAGTAACCTGAACTTGCTCCAGGCAGAGTTAGGCACTTTCTCCTGTAGGCTCCCACAACCCCTTAGGACACATTTGTTTATTTATCTGATCCTTCCACTTCATAACAAACATGATGCTTACCATATGGTGGGGCAGTTTGCTAGACACTTTTACATCCATTCTAATTATAAACCTCCCCTCCTTTGTGAAGTAAACCATCAGTTCACAGATAAGCCAATAGGAAAGTTAAGTAACCTACTAACTTCGACAGTGTAAGTAGTAGAACCTGGGTCTAAAGGCAGATGGTCCAGCTCTGAGTCTCCTCACTGATAATCACTGGACATCCTGCCTTCCATGAACCTGAGAGCTCTTAGAGAAGGACCAGGGGAGCCAACACGGTATTGACATGTAGAAGGTTCTCTACAAACATAGTTAGAATAAAGGCAATGTCTCATGTACTGCATGTCACAGTTTCAGCCTTGACCTTCTCAAACTAGGATCTCCACAAAAGCTGGCCAAGGGGATCTTCAGCACCTTCCTGTGAACATGGCTTGCCTATTCCCGTTCCTTCCTTCTCCTTTCCGACAACATCTGTCTTCTTCCCTCCCCTGTGGGACACATCCAAGCAACAAACCACCCATTTACTGGTTCCTCTCAATAAAAAAAAAAAAAAAAATCCAACTTATTTTTTCTTCTAAAATCCCTTCAGGAGAAGGCTGCTGATGTCATGCCCATACAGATGCCATCATCTCAGGAGAGGTGATGGGCCCAGGCATCACCTTCAGCTTGTAGAGTTACACATGATTGGCACATGATGCACATGTGATGGTTTCCTCTTTTAGACCTTTTCCCAAATTGTTCTTTCCTTATTATTCCCCTGCAGGTGGTCACTTCTCATTTCCTTATGATATGTTCCTTCTCGCTTCTCATTCTTGACACTGTGATCAACTTTTGCTGTTAGCAAGTATGATTATCTGAAATCAGGTAAGGGTGTGTTTGGGAGAGTTATGGAATTAGGCGAATTTAATTTACATGAAGTTGTTTTATAAAGCTGCTGATTCCAGAAGGATGCAAATCCTGCCCAGACACAGGCTCTAAACTCAGTTTGCTCAGATTTGAGTCCCACTCCACAATGTACTAACCATGTGGTCACTGGTCCTCAATTTTATCAACTGTGAAATTAGTAATAATAGTAGTAGTAGTAGTAGTAGTAGTAGTAATCATAGTAGTAGTAGTAGTAGTAGTAGTAGTATGCTACTTTCAGACCCTTGTAGGGTCTGAAAAAGATTGAAATAAATAACTTGTTAGCCAAAGCTGGGTACATGGGCATGCTCAGTAAATGTTAGCTCTTTATTAATTTTACTCCAGACTATTCGCTATCCATTTTTCGGTGCAGAGTAATAGTCTATCCCTTAGTCTGACACAGCTCTGAAAAATTGAGTGGATCACGAAAGTGATCGGGATAAGCATTTTAAATTCAATGAAGAAAATGTCTACCAGTTTCCCCTCTGTTCTTACCATTGTAATTCACTGATTGTTCTAGTGAATAAGGTGCTAAAGAAATGTTTTTATTTTATTCTATTTTATTTTGCAGTGCCAGGGATTAAACCTACGGCTTTGTATAAGCTAAATGAGCTCTCTACCATTGAGCTATACTCCCAGCCCCTGAAGGAGTATTTTTTTTTTTGTAATACTGAGCATAGAGCTACACCCCCACTCCTAGCCCTTTGTATCTTTTATTATAGAACAAGGTTTTGCTAAATTCCCAAGGCTGGCTTTGAATTTTTGATCCTCCTGCCTCAGCCTCCTGAGTCACTGGGAGTGCAGGTGTGCACCACCATGTCGGACTGAAAGAATATTTTTCAAATGCAATGGGTAATAGTCTGTCTCAAGCATGCTATTAATAGAACAGTTGCTTGAGCAAAGAGCAACTTTGTGTGTGTGTGTGTGTGTGTGTGTGCGCGCGCACACGCGTGCACGTGTGTGTTTCAGGATTGGGGTTGCTAAAATAAGTTAACAAAATAAATGAAGGCTTGGGGCTGGGGATGTGGCTCAAGCGGTAGCGCGCTCGCCTGGCATGCGTGCGACCCGGGTTCGATCCTCAGCACCACATACCAACAAAGATGTTGTGTCCGCCGAGAACTAGAAAATAAATATTAAAAAAAAAATTCTCTCTCTCTCTCCTCTCTCACTCTCTCTTTAAAAAAAAATAAAATAAAATAAAATAAATGAAGGCTCATACCTCCCACAGAGTTCTAAGAAACAAGTGTGTCCTCAGGTTCCTGGTCCATGTGCAAGGAGTACATAGCTCCACCAAAATTCTGTCAAGAGGAGGGGAAGGTGGAGCAGTGGAGTCCCTCCACTCAGTGAGTAGGGGAGGGAAGACTTTTCTTCTACCTTTTGAGGGTTCATTAATTGAGTCTGAAATAGATAGCAGGCAGATTAATAGGAGAAAAGGCATATAAATTTATTATATGCCCAGAGCCATCTTATGAAGGAAAATTGAATAACCAAAAACCCAGGATAGGAGGGAGGAGGGAAGTAAGCAATTAGGGAAGGGTAAATGATTTTTCAGAAAGATGAATGGACCATCAGAAGAATAGGTGACAGCCTGTGATAAACTGTGACTGAACTGTGGTTGTGGTTCAGTAGTAGAGCACTTGTCTAGCATGGATGAGGTGCTGGGTTTCATTCCCAGCACTGCAAAGAAAAAAAGAAATGAAAATCTGCCTGGGTACGGAATTGGCCTCCAGCATCCTCTCCTGTGATATAATCTTAATCGTTCCTGGTTGATGAAGTTCCAGGGAGGCTCATGACAATTGAGCTCCTTCTGGAGGACCTGTTTTTAGGTAGATAAGGGAAGTCAATGAAAATCCCTGCCTGCATTTACTATTCCCCAAGTGTCCTCAGTTTGGAGCAGCATGCTGAGTTTGGAGCAGTCCACCTCACAAGAAAATCAGAGGTGGGTAGTTCTGCTGCTTATGCAGCTACCTCCAGGGCCAGGGAAAGGTGCTTGGCTCTCTGCCCACAAAAGCAGAGACTGTAAGGATTTACTCATATCCTACAGAAGGGTGCATGGGATGGTAGGAAAACCTGGCTCCCTTCCCATCGTCCAGCTCCCAAGCAAGGAGAGCCCCAGCTGACAGGGCACCTCTGGGAACCAGTGTTCTACTTATTCAGAACTCAGTCCTACTCTACCTGGAAGGGGAGGGTTCAGGGCTCTAAGAGAGGGCTGGGGTAGAGAGTTGCACCCCTAATTCCAAGGAGAGATGAAGGTATGATTTATGTGGGCAGGAAGCAACAACTGAAGAGCTAGGGAGAAGCTGCTGTGGGGAGCATTTCAGTGGAGTTGAATAAGAATTTTGGGGTACAGAAAAAGATAGTCTGAGACTCAAAAATGACAGGGCAGGTGAGCTGTTAGAATGCAGGAAAAGCCCTGAGCCTTTGAATTGCAAAAATAATTCCTGTGCAAACTGGCCCGTGGCTCTTGCCCTTGGCCCAAGCCCTTGGTCCACACCCTTGACTCATGTCCTTGCATGCAAAATAATACAAGGACACTGCACAAGTGCTAGAAAAACCGTTGTGAAGTTATGTAATTCTGCCTTGACTCCACCTCTGTTTCAGCCTTAGTTACTGTCCCTCTATAAATAATACCACAGACCAAGGTCCTGTCTCTTCCTCTGGAGGTAGCTCATATTATTCCTTGAATGTGTCTTCCTCATGTAACCCCCAAAACTTCTCACCCTCAAGATGGTCCCAATTATCCCTTAAATGTTTATTTCTTTACCCCCAAAGATATTAGATAGCTTGCATTCTCCCTTGAAAGTACATCTGCTTTCCTAAATAAATCTATCTGGAGCATGCTGAAATTCTTTTTGTGTCACATATCCCTACATATCCTAAGTTAAGGTCTCTCTCTCGGTGAACCCCTGAGATGACAGAGTGACCGGGCTGCATAGAAAGTGTCCATGGGCTCAAAGCTGAATGTCAGACCCTGTAGAAATACTGCAGTGTGACAGGCTATGGCTTTAGAAGGGAACCCTAGAAAACCAGGCTCTGTGGGGAAGTATGACTGTTGAATGTTCAATTTATTCAACATTTTCTGAGAGGGTGCAGACTCTGAGGCCCATGGACAGCCAAGATAGCCCCTTAAATGAGAATAGCTGGGATATCATTGCCCCAGAGCCCACTGTTAATGGGAAGAGGAAAGATCCCAGAAGCTTTCAGATTTTTTTTTTTTTTTTTTTTTTAGCAGAAAAATAAAGAGGAGCACTGAGAGAAGAGAACCATCTGTAGAGGTATGAAACTGACCTGGGCCTAAGAAGATATGTGTGGCCCGAATATCTGTCTCTGAGGAAAAGGGACAGCAATCTTCAGATAAGCAAACTTCCAATTTGAGCTCAGGCAGAGGGACCACTGGGGACACACAGGCTGGCCATGTCTGTTGGGGCTGTGGCTCTGCCCTGCAGAAAGTGTCATGACAAAAGGCAGGCCTGGGACCTGAGCCAACCTGTTGCTAAATCAAGATTCCTGAGATCTCAGCTGGTTACCTTCTGTGATACTATAAGGTGTTTTTTTTTTGTTTTGGTTTGGGGCACTAGGGATTGAACCCAGGAATGTTTTACCATTTGAACTACATCCCCAGTCCTTTTAATTTTTTAAAGGGCCTTGTGCATGCAAAGCAAGCATTCTACCAACTGAGCTATATCCTCAGCCCTTATTTTTTTTATTTTATTTTGAGAAAGGGCCTTGCCAACTTGCTGAGGCTGACCTTGAACCTTTGATCTTCCTGCCTCAGCCTCCCAAGTTGCTGGAATTAAAGGTACATGCTACTGTGTTTGCAACACTATGAAATACATATTTGGTCTTCCTCCAGTTTCCTGGCATACAACTCCTAAAACCTTTGAAATCTAAAAAGTAATAAATGTCTTTTTGCATGCTAATGAACTGACTAATGGCTAGCAGCCAAGAAGCTTCAGGATGAGGGATGGTCACAAGATGATAGACCAAAGCCTGATTAGAGGTTTGACACTTTCAGCCTCATCCTCCAAACTTAAAGGAGGGAGAAGGGCTAAAGGTTGAGTTGAGGGCTGGGGATGTGGCTCAAGCGGTAGCGCGCTCGCCTGGCATGCGTGCGGCCCGGGTTTGATCCTCAGCACCACATACAAACAAAGATGTTGTGTCTGCCGAAAACTAAAAAATAAATATTAAAAATCTCTCTCTCTCTCTCTCTCTCTCTTTAAAAAAAAATTGTAAAAAAAAAAAAAAAACAATTGTAAAGGTTGAGTTGATCACCAGTGGATAATTATTTAATCAATCATGCTTATGTAGTGAGATCTCCACAAAAACCCGAAAGCATAGAATTGGGTGAGCTTCCAGAATGCTGAACACATGGAGGGTCCTAGATGGTGGAGCATCCAGACAGGGCATGGCAGCTCTGCATCCCATCCTTCATATCTTACCCAGTGCATCTCTTCATCTGTATCCTTTATAATAAACTAGTACATGTAATTAAAGTGTTCCCCCAAGCTCTGTGAGCCACCCTAGCAAATTAGTCAAACAAGAGGAAGGGGTTATGGGAACCCTAATTCATAACTGATTAGTGGAAGCACAATTAAACCAAACTCAGACTTGTGATTGGCATTGGAAGTGGGGGGCAGTCTTGTGCAGCTGAACCATTAACATGTAGGGTTCAACAATATTTCCAGGTAGATGTGTAAGAATTGAATTGAACTACAGAACACACAGCTGCTATCTGCTGCAGAAAGATTGATTGGTTCCTGATGAGGAGAAATCACCATTTGCATCTTGGTGACCAGAGGTCACAGAATTGTTCTGTTTATTGTATTGTGAGGGTAAAGTTGGGGGGGGGTGTCTTTGTTTCCTCTCAGACCTTGTGCCTGGTTGTAGTAGTGGCTGGCTTTTTAGCCCCTGTGTCCTAGCCTTTGGGGATGGAGGCAACAGGCCAAGCCCACTCTTGGCCAGGGTGTTAAGGAGTGAAGTGTCCCTGAGGCCAGGGAAAAGGTGACAAAAAAAAAATAACTTGTGGCAGATCTCCAAGAAGGAAGGTGACTTTTTTTTTTTTTCCCAGCTAGAGGGATTGAACCCAGGGATGCACTTCCACTAAGTTATGTTCACAGGCCTTTTTATTTATTTTTTTATTGAGACAAGGTCTCACTGAAGTGCCCAGGTTGACCTCAAACTTGTGTCCTCCTGCTTCAGCCTCCTACAGGTGCCGGAAAGTGACTCTTCTTGGAGTCCTGCTGCTCCTTCCCACAGCAAAGGCCTCCCTCTCACAACCGCCCACTTCAGAGAAGAATGACCCAGCCTAGCGGGGGTTCCTCAAAGACGGCACAAATGGGAGCAAAAGTGGAGGCAACTGCCTCACATGCTCCTGAGTCTACTGCTGGGATTATTTAAGCAGACTCCAGCCCCACTAGAGCCCACCTTGGTGATGTGGGCAGGGGGAATAGCAGCTCTAGAAAGTGGTATACCTACATACACTTAAGGATTAACCAACCAGGGGCTAAAACAGTGCTCACAAGTTTTATATATTATAACTCATTTCAACCTTAGAAATGAACAAGAATGGGGGCTGGGGCTGTGGCTCGGTAGCGCGCTCGCCTGGCATGCGTGCAGCCCAGGTTCGATCCTCACCACCACATACAAAGATGTTGAGCACCACATACAAAGATGTTGTGTCCGCCCAAAAACTAAAAAATAAATAAATATTAAAAATTCTCGGGCTGGAGATGTGGCTCAGCGGTAGCGCGCTCGCCTGGCATGCGTGCGGCCCGGGTTCGATCCTCAGCACCACATACCAACAAAGATGTTGTGT